ACCTTAACCAATAAAGACATTAAAGATTGAAAAAAATTTTTTAAAAAGAAAGAATATTAGAGTAGAAATACTTAATGAACGTTATGAGGCATGGTTATGCATTTTGAATGAAAAAGAAGGTGGTTTCTAAAGGTGGTTATTTCTGAAAGTTATAAGAATGTTTCTGAAAGTTGTAAGAATGTCTGTGGAAGTTATAAGAAGTCGGTAGAAAGAAAGGTGAAAATGAAATTGATTAAATCACACAGGCATTGCATGCCCTACATCAGTGGTTGGCAAACTCATTAGTCACCAGAGCCAAATATCAACAGTACAACAACTGAAATTTCTTTTGAGAGCCAAATTTTTTAAACTTAAACTATATAGGTAGGTATATTGTTATTAACTTAATTAGGGTACTCCTAAGCTGGCCTTTGCTAAAAATGTCCTCAATCTGATTGAGGTACGCTCGCTGAGGATGACCCCTTCCAACTCTCCCATCCACACTCGTCTTGTATACTTATTTCGTCTATCACTAGCACTAACCACTGCACAATGAGACTGCTGACTGACTCACTCACTCAACGCGTGCATGAATCGCACGCGTCTCCCGTCGCCCCACCGACCAACACCCCCCACTTCTTCTAACGCCACTTCTTCAAAATAGATTCGCCCAGGCCGAAAACCGACTTCTGCGCGTGGGCCACCAAGTTTCAATTGCACTGTACCTGCGCACCGGCACGTGGCATTTTGTGGAAGAGCCACACTCAAGGGGCCAAAAGCCGCATGTGGCTCTTGAGCCTAAGTTTGCCGACCACTGGTCTAAAAGACTCCTGCTGTTCTTTCCCCTAAGCAAGGGTGACCCTGCCAGAAGCAATCCCCTCTATCTCTCAAAGCCACTTCCTTTCTGCCTGTTGTAAACGCCTTCCATTGTGAACAGCTGCTCTGAGATTCTATTTACTAGATGGGATGAGGCCCAATTCGTGAACGGGAATCAAGCTAGTTAACCTTCCAACTTACTCAGCTGAATTTTGTTTTTAACAGTTTGAAAAGCACCACAAAACAAATAGCTGATAAAGATGCTGTGACTCAGAGAAGGGAAGATGGC